TTAAAAAAAATTGCTTAATTTTTTTTTTTTAATATAAAGAAAGGGGCAGGGGGGTTTAATTCCCCCTCACATGTCGAACAGTGGGTTATAAATATATTTTATGTATCTAAATTTTTTTGTTAAGTATATATATTAATTATTATTTAACTATTATTTGTTAACTAAGATTATAATTCATAATTAGATAATTAAGATTAAATTTTAATGATAATTAATTAATCTCAAATATAACTTAAAATTTTGAAGAAAATTAGAATGCTACACACAACAATAAATTGTCATTTTTCTATTGAATTTGTACATTTACAATTCAAATACATATTTTCCCAGCTTCAAGTTGCCATTTCTTTGCACATTTACCTATCATATTACCCATTCCAGCATATTCACCCACTTCCTTTTCATTTCTGCCTCCCTAAGTTCCTTCAACAACGCATTATACTCAACGTTCACATTTTCTCAGACACTTCTTAAAAATCATAAACACCCCATGTTTAACATCTTGAAACAAGAAGAAGATAACAATTTCTTTGTAAAACCAAAACCTCCATCAGATTTTTTTCTCACTCACTACCTACTTACCCGTGCATTTAAATACTCATTTTAACATTATTCACCCATCAGAATCTACCTATGCTCACCAATTTGAATGAAGAAAGCGAAAATTTTGAAAACAAAATTTTATCTCACACACCAAGCAACAGTGACACTGACGATGCAACATCATAGGCACATTTATAATTTATCTCACTTGTACCAACATTAACATCGACTTTCACAAATGGCAGAGGGATGCACCTTCAAAATGATGATCGCCTACTACGTTTCCTCAACTCATAGTAGGGGAACATTTCCCTCCATCCCTGCTGCACTACATGGGGTGGGGAAGAAATGGCACGGACTTTCCCTTTTTCCTCTTTCCTCTTTCTTTTACAGCATTGAAAAAGAAAGTCTCATTTTCGCAGGACATTTTCATCTTTTACCTTCTGGAATTAATTTCACTTTCTCCTCTTAGTCCTACGGTAAGGTTTCATAATGTTTTGGGAACTCTTTGAAATAAATTGGCTACAGTGGTCCTTCATTGAAATTTTTCCTAAAACAAAAGATATATATCACCTAGCTTATATATTCTCAATCATTCATAAAATCACTCACCAAGTCATACCAAAATATGCAATAGACAAGTAGTACTACTTGTCTGGTCTCCTAGCCACTCAGTCAAATCACAATTGGGACCTGTGCAAAGTGTAGTCTAGCTGCTAAATATGAGGCTCTAACTCTCCCTCTAGGCTACCTAAAGAATTACTCAAATTCCTGCCCATATAGTTTGTCCAAGGTTCAGAGCAAGAAGTTGCCAATAACCCTTTTAGGGTTCAATTCTTAAGTTAATCTAGCTTGGAATAATACTTAATTACCTAAATAATTCACAGGGATGCCTCCGGTCTATTGTGTCCCTTTTCAAGCATCTCTCCCTATATGTTTCTTAAGCTCAGTTAGCTCTAGTGAAGAAATATGATATGGATATTAATATAATATATACACTACTTCTCATTTTTAATATAAGAGTTAGATAATTAATCTGTAAATATTAAAAAAAAATTAGTTAAACTAGTTATTTGTAATAATTATGTTTAGTTTTTCTAGAATATCTTTTCTAATTATGTACTACTCCGAATTTTAAATATAAGATGTAATTTGTAGTATAAATTATATTACAAACAAGATCTTATATTTAGAACTAGTGGTAGTGCATTGTAACTATCTTTTTTTTATGGAAACTCCCTTACTATGTGCAATAAATAAAAATATTTTGAAAAAAAATTATAAGTATAAAAGCCAAAGTTGATTAGGGTTTTATATTTAAGACCAAAATAAAATCTTTATCTAACTATTATATTTAGCCTATGTTTGGTATGAGGGAAATGGAGGGGAAGGGAAGGAAAGAAAAACTCTATTGAGCTCACTTTAAAAAATTGGAGAAGTGTGGTATTAAAATTTTAATAAAAAGAAGACGTAAGATAAAAGAATAACAAAAATCAATTGAAAACTTTTAACCCCAATTCTTCAATTTTTAAAATTAAGCTCATTAAATTTTTCTTCCTCCACATTCCCTTCCATTTCCCCACACAACGGGATAATAAAAATTATCATATTCTTCAACGGAAAAGGAGACACATGATATAGGCCTACGCTTAGGCTATTAGTGCGTGTGTTTCTTTTGTTTTTCCTTTTTTGCCAGCTTTTTTTTTTTTGGAAAAAATTGGGGGAAATGAATTGCAAAAAAAAAAAAATTACATCGAAGGACAGTGGATAAAGAAAAGATGATTTTCATACAACATTATCTGAATATAAGAAACTAATTTATACATACAAAAAATGACTTGCATGTAAAAAAAGTTTAGTTGTATAAAAGGAAATTCAGTTACAAATCACGTAAAAAAAAAAAACTGACTGCATACAAGGAAAGACTAATTACACATAAGAAAAATTAAGTTGGGAAAAAGACAGAAAAATGCAACTTTAACTCCATAATCCTCAAAACGTCCGTCCAATTCCACAAATCCCATTTTGGTACCATGAGATCAAATTGGGATTATTATGTGAAAAGAAAAGACCAAATTGCCCTTCATTTTAAATATTATTTTTAAAATATCACAGCCCCTACTGGCCGGCCGGTCACCGGAGCTCCGGCGACCAGCTGACAATTGGTCACCGGAGCTCCGTCGGTCGGAATTTTTTTTTTTGAAAATTTTTACAACTTCAATATAACGGTTAACAACTTTTGTAATGCTATTAACAACTTCAGTATAGCAATTAACAACAGCTTTTCTGAGAAATTCAACAAACTCCGGCGACCGGAAACAATTTTTTTTGAAAATTTTTACAATTCATATAACCGTTCACAACTTTTGTAACGCTATTAACAATTTCAATATAGCAATTAACAACAGCTTTTCTGGGAAATTCAACAAACCTCGGCGACCAGAAACAATTTTTTTGAAAATTTTTACAACTTCAATATAACCGTTAACAACTTTTGTAACGCTATTAACAACTTCAGTATAGCAATTAACAACAGGTTTTCTGGAAAATTCAACAAACTCCGGCGACCAGAAACAATTTTTTTGAAAATTTTTACAACTTCAATATAACCGTTAACAACTTTTGTAACACTATTAACAACTTTAGTATATCAGTTAACAACAGATTTTTCAGAAAATTCAACAACTGGTCGCCGGAGCTCCGGTGGAGGAAAACAATTTTTTTAAAAAATTTTTACAACTTCAGTATAATGGTTAACAACTTTTGTAACTCTATTAACAACTTCAGTATAGCAATTAACAATAGGTTTTCAGGAAAATTCAACAAACTCCGGTGACCGGAAACAATTTTTTTGAAAATTTTTACAACTCCAATATAATCGTTAACAACTTTATTATATCACTTAACAACAGATTTTTTGAAAAATTCAACAAGTGGTCGTCAGAGCTCCGGCGAAGGAAAGCAATTTTTTTGAAAATTTTTACAATTTCAGTATAACGGTTAACAACTTTTGTAACCCTATTAACAATTTCAGTATAGCAGTTAACAACAGGTTTTTGAGTTTGTTAAAGGCATTACTGAAGTTATAAAAATGCCACTTTTTGAATTTTTCAAAAAACTTGTTGTTAACTGCTATATCAAAGTTGTTAACCGTTATATTAGAGTTGTAAAAATTTTCAAAAAAACATAATTGTTAACGTTATACTAAAATTGAAAATTTTTACAACTTTAGTATAACGGTTAACAACTTTTATAATGCTATTAACAATTTCAATATAGTAATTAATAACAAGTTTTCTGGGAAATTCAACAAACTCTGGCGACCAGAAACAATTTTTTGAAAATTTTTTACAATTTCAATATAACAGTTAACAACTTTTGTAACTCTATTTTTGAAAAATCTATTGTTAACTGATATACTAAAGTTGTTAATAGCGTTACAAAAGTTGTTAATTGTTATATTGAAGTTGTAAAAATTTTTTAAAAAATTGTTTCCGGTCGTCGGAGTTTGTTGAATTTCCCAGAAAACCTGTTGTTAATTGTTATATTGAAGTTGTTAACAGCGTTACAAAAGTTGTTAACGGTTATATTGAAGTTGTAAAAATTTTCAAAAAAATTGTTTTCGGTCACCGGAGTTTGTTGAATTTCCTGGAAAAGCTGTTATTAATTGCTATACTGAAGTTGTTAATGGCGTTGCAAAAGTTGTTAACCGTTATATTGAAGTTGTAAAAATTTTCAAAAAATTGTTTCCGGTTGCCGGAGTTTGTTGAATTTTCCGGAAAAGCTGTTGTTAATTGCTATATTGAAGTTGTTAATAGCGTTACAAAAGTTGTTAACCGTTATATTGAAGTTGTAAAAATTTTCAAAAAAATTGTTTCCGGTCGCCGGAGTTTGTTGAATTCCCAGAAAAGCTGTTGTTAATTGCTATACTGAAGTTGTTAATAGCGTTACAAAAGTTGTTAACCGTTATATTGAAGTTGTAAAAATTTTCAAAAAAAAATTTCCGACCGACAAAGCTCCGGTAACTAATTGTCGGCTGGTCGCCGGAGCTCCGGTGACCGGCCGGTCAGTAGGGGCTGTGATATTTTAAAAATAATATTTAAAATGAAGGGCAATTTAGTCTTTTCCTTTTACATAATAATCCCAATTTGGTCTCATGGTACTAAAATGGGATTTGTGGAATTAGGCGGACGTTTTGGGGATTATGGAGTTAAAGTTGTATTTTTCTGTCTTTTTCCCAATTAAGTTGTACAAAATCTTTAAAGACTATTTACCAATTAATTTCTTACGAGGGATTTATTCTCCCAATTTTCTCCTTTTTTTTGTTGGTTATTAATAAAAATGACTTTCCCTTGAAAAAAAAAGCCCCATGGACAGGTTGTACTTTTCAGCTAAACGTGCGTGCACTGCCAGTCTGCCACAATGGATCCCTCCCTGTCATCGAGAAGATAAGGCGAGCAACTGTCAAACGGGACTACGGGACTCACCGCTGCCTTTGAATTTGAATATGGTAATGGATGTGGAAAGGCCACGTAGAGGCCGAAGCAGCCATGTGCCTATTCCTTTTTACACATCCTGCCTTCTGAAGTTTCTCTACTCATGAGGAATTCAATTTCTCAGCTCCTTTTCTACCGCCAAAACATATACCGTTTGGCTTGCAACAGAATTTCTTCATCCTCAATAATGGAGAAAGTTTCAGCGGGTAATCAATCATCATATTCATATCTGGGTTTTCTATTGCGGGAATTTTAGTATTGTTTTTGTGGTTCTGTCTTCGCTCACTGTCGCTGTATTTATTGCTTAAAACCTGAGACATAATCTCACTTCACATCTCATTGTCTTTGTGTTGAATTTTTAAATCACCGTTACCCAATTCCAGCTATCTAAGGTCAGGTTCATCGCCTATCTTCAATATTCAAGTTGAGCAATCGTGAGGGGAATTGAACTGATGTTATTAACGAAGCTAAACTGAACTAGTTTCTTCGGTTGTCACGTATTTTGATTGGGCTTTTGTAGTTATTTGCAGTCTTGTGTGGGAATAAGTTTCTTCTTGTTTTCTTGTTGATTTCGTACGATAGTATAGTTAGACAATTCAGCCTTGTTTTGTCTTTCAGATGCGGGTGGATACAATCAGAAGACTCAGGCAAATTTTAAAGAAGCTTCCGATGATAATTCAATGAAACGCATGTCTGATGACATAATGCCTCACATCCTGCGTCTGTACGTCTCCCTCTTTAAACTCCCCAAAGTTACACTCAAACGAGTAGAATTTTAACATTATTCTCTACTTCCTGTCTATTTATAATAATTGTCACGAACATTTAGACTATAAAGGCAGGTAATGAAACTGTTATGCTACCTCCAATAACTTGTTCTCTTGTCAGGATTTCTGTCAATCATGTTAGAATAATGGGTTTAGGATGTGGATTGGGAAGATGATTTAGAACTTGCCAGCTCTTTTGTTTCCTGTGGTACATAATATCGCGTTTATGTACTCAGTCTTGGTCACAGGTCATTTAACCTTTTATAAAGGGTTGGACATTTCAAGTATTCTATCTTTGCTAACAGCAGAAAGTTTTCCTGTAGAGTTTATCATGCAAATATGGGTGTTATCATGTCATTCAACCTCTATAATTACTGTTGAGTATTTTAATAAATTATTATAATGTTAATAGCAATAAGGTGAGTAGCCAGCCCAACATTAACAAATCTGTCTGATAATAAATATAAATTGATATGTGATTGTGATTATAAAGTTGCATAAGAATGTGTTCCTTGTGGTCGGAAATGTCAGGGAGAATCATGTGGAGCAACAACTGTTGGAAATCAAAATCACACATTGGAAATAATAACAAGTAATAAAGCCTGAACAACAAACAACCACTAAACAAAGCAAACTTAAAACTAGGTCTAGTATAAATATGGGCCAAGGCCCAGGATTCAACTAACATGCTGGAGTTTAGACTGCTTTCTCTTCTGTTTCTTAAGTTCTTCGCACCATATCTTCCTTAAATTGAAGCATTCTTATCAATAGGCTCACCTTTTTACTTTAATTTCTTTCAATATTTCATATGCTTCAAATCATTAGATAGGTACACTTCATTTTTCTTGACAACTTCTCTGCACTTGTCTAATTTTAGGATTTTTCACTAAGCTTGTAATTTCCTTTGTTCCTTATTACCAGCAAATTATTGTGGTCTTTCCAGGTACGGATCCTCTGCAACAGCTGTTGACTTCGAAATATATGCCCCAGATGCTTCCTTTGAGGATCCCCTTATGCGTGCACATGGGTATGCATTTGTTTTGCTTTTCGTGGAATAGCCTCTGAAAATGCTAAAATGTCATTCTAAATATTCTTGTAAGTGGAGATATTGTTCTTATATAATTTAAAATATTGAATATTGATACTGCAGGGTGAAGCAAATCAAATCAGCATTCTATTCTCTTTCCAAGGTTTCTATTTTGATTTGTTTTTATCATTATTTTGTCTTTAGCTTTATGATCCTCTGCTCTCAAATTCTTAGAGGATGTGTTACATCTACACTTGATCTTGCTCCAAGGAATATTTGGTTGAGGTTGTGACATGAAATTTGTTACATCCATACAATTAGGTGTCAGACATTTCCACCTTTTCTTGAATCAGAAAATTATAGATCCATCTCTCATGAAGATCTCTTAATATAGGGGAAATTTTGGTCAAAATATAGACATAAATTATCATTTTTGTAAATTATTTATGTGTGATTTTTTTTTGGCAACCATTTAAAGTGCTTGCTTGATTTTATTCACGCCTTTGTTTGTACTAAATTAAAGATGGTTCCTTGATGTTAATTTTGCTGCCGAAAGCATAGCAATATGAACTGGTTCTTGGTACGATATATCCCCCCTTGGCTCCTTGTAAATCAGTTTCACTATTACTTGTTTTTGCTTACAAGAGTTTATGCGACCTAATCTGAAGTGGTAGTGATAAATCCAGATCATACTTCATCTATGCGTGTCATTAAGCATTGAATAGCACTAAATATTTGGATTAACAATAACAGTGAAGGCTATAAGAATTATTCAAGGGTTGGTAAATTATGGTTCATGATAGAGAGAGGATTCCTTTTTACGAGTTAAGCTGTCATTTTCTTTTCTTGGGCTCTCTTCCATATGGTTTTGATGCTTGACCACTTTTTCCATACATCGTAGGTATTTAGGGAGTCAAGGATTGTGGAGTACAGTGTTGAAGAAAATGTGATCTCACCAGGAAAACAAGAGGTTGTCAGAATTTCTCTCACTTAGATGCAATTTATCATTCTTTAATCTTCTATATATTCAATTCTATTATGAGCAAATGCATGATCCATATTCATGGGTGTTGTATGCAGATATTAATAGACAATAAGCAACACTACAAGTTCTTGGGGAAGGATATTGATTTGGCAACACTTATTAAGTTATATGTCGTGAACGGCAAAGTTATTCGCCATGAAGACTGGTATGCGCGAATCACCTTCACACTTCTTTTTGCCTGCTTTCCTTTTTCCTTATTTATTCATTGTGACGTCTTCATTTTTATATTCTTTAATGTAAAAGAAGGAATATGCAATCTTCTTTTTATGATTACATGAAGTTTGTTACCTACAAGAACATCTACTAGTATTAGGAGAGGGCAAAATAAGGCTTTGCATGTCTTATCGTCTTACACGTTGATTTGTTTAGTTGTAGTAGCAAGCATGGGAGCATGCATTTGCATGTCCGTTAGATGGTTATTGTGTTTTTAATATCACAGATGATGAAGTCATAACTGTCACTACAGCTTGTTAAGCTTGTCCTCGGTATCCTAAACTTCAACCGAGGCAAAACCTTAAAGCATGATGTGTTGAACAGAAATTTAAAACTCGAGTAATCATGGAGGAGATTACACGGCAACTTGTGTGGATATGACATATACGAAATTGAGGGTGAGGAGAATAGTAAGACAATGCCACTTCCCATGATTATCTCCTTGCCTTGATATGTCAAAACCAAACTTTTCTTATGCTGAAGCAGAAAAAACGAACACAACCTCCTTTTATCATATCCTTGCGATAGGAATTAGGTAGTATAGGACATTAGGTGGCACATCAAGTAGAATGGGATGCTCATAATAATTGTTTAACCCAACATTGAAGCAGTTTTTGGAAGAATGATAAAGTAACAAGAAGAATTAAAAGCTCAGAGGATAACCGTTACCTTTAATTTAGTTGTATCCACCTGCTGGTGCTGAGACAAATCCCAAGGATAACAGTTTCCAGCCTAAATTAATGAAATTTGTGAGATTTATGACTTGATCCCTTAAAACCGGAGGATAATGTTTCCAATGGTTGAATTCAGTCTTTCTCTTACCCTAAGCAAACAATAATAGTTTGTCCTGTATCACTAATATTGACTTTGAAATCAACTAGGTGGGACAAAAAACCACTCTGGAATAAGGAAACAGTGAAGCTGCCTCTGCTTGGCCGGGTTGCAGAAATGACCCGAAGGGGTGCAATGCTGGCAACACACGTTTTGATGAGGTTTGGGAGGGATCCAAATGTGTGAGTGACTCTACACTTCAGGGGAGTTTGTTTATGTGTGTATAGAACTTCATCATATACCCCCTCTAATCCTTAATATAAGATCCAATTAACTAATTTAGAAAGATTAAGGACATTACTATGTTACTTTAAAGTATTTATATTTATCTTTTTTTTTAAAACTAATTTGTCTCACTTATTTACTGATATATAATCTAATAATATACATGACTATTTTACAGAAATCAGGTAATATATGCTATAATTAAGTAATTTAGTAACTTTCTTAATCTCTCTAAATTAGTCAACTGGGTCTTATATTAACGACTAGTAGACGGGTTTCTATAGAGTGTTTGATTTCAAGTTTTTGATCTCTTCATCAAGCCGTATATTTTTCTGTTTACTCTTTCTTATGGCTTGTGTGTGGAGACTTTAAGAGGATTTATGTCAATGTGTTGTATATACAGGCTATTAAGTTCAGAGCTAATGTTCTATACGAAACTTGAATTGATGTCAGTCGTTTTACATGCTTCATGAGCAATGCAGTCTCCTACAGATATTATGTGGAATCATGGCAATATATTGCATAGAGTAGTATGTAGTTATATATTTGTTGAGGTTTTGAGAATTTTATGATATACTCCTCCGGTCCTTATTATAAGACCCAATTTGACTTTTTATTTGGTCCTAATTATAAGACCCAATCCATTTTCTCTCTTATATTTATGCATTTTTTTCTAAGATAATCCTTCTAATAATGATAGTTTTAGCCAATACACTTAATTAGCAAGGATATTTTAGGAATAACAACACTTATTTATTATAAATAACCAACTTAACTTACTTCCTTAATCTCCTCAAATAAGTCAATTGAGTCTTATAATTAGGACCGGAGGAGTAATTTAGAGATACAAGAGTCAGGCATAAGCAAAGAGACTCGAGGATTTGCTAATGTACCATATTATATTATATAAATTTATGAATTTATTTTTATATTTAGAGAAAGAATAAAATGAAAAAAAAAACGTTAAAATTCTCAAATAAGAGAATTAAATACTAAGAGATTTCAAGACTTTATTGGCAAACAAAAATCTCAAGAATCTCAATTTTTTTTCAAATTTGACTCATAAATTAGGCAACTCAATTTATAAATATGAAATCTAGACATCATATCCCGTACATTGTACGGGATGACTCATGAGCATAGAACAACGATGAGATGGGACGTTGACATGTCAAAATATTTTAATGTCCATATTACATAAAAAATATTTTAGAATGGAAAATATTATTTGTGAATTACTGAAATAAAGTATTGATGTAGAATTAAAAGAAAAGAGAATAGTTCTTGAACAGAGTTTCGTATAAACTTTTAAAATATAACAATTATATTTATTGCACTTCCTCATCTGATTCACAGGAGGTGAATATGCTTGGATGTAAAATTTTAATCATCAAAACTTAAGTGATATTGCTTTACAAATTTTTGGTTCCGTTTTAATTAAAGAAAATTTCATTTTTCCTCCATCCGAAAACTTCATTTGTTAACATGTATTATAAAAATATATTTTTTCTTATTATAAGAGTTATCAATAATTTATCTACTCATACAGTAAAATATAGGATGGAAGCTATTTTAAAAAGGACCAAAGTGTCTAATGCTAACTATTGTAATACAAGTTTTGCTTTGAATAATAAGGCACATGATAATTTGAAAAAAGAAATATTCAAAGTAAACACCTTTCATATGATACGTCTAATTAGTTAAAAAAAAAAAAAAACAGTGGATGATATAGTGTAAATAAAAAATTATTTTTAGACATGCATTTCTCCTCTTTAATGCCGCCGGGGGAAACCCTCCCGGGCCCCCCAAAAAAGGAATCTCTTTGTAGGTTGTAGCTATTTATTTTTTTGGAAAAAATGTTAACAATTGTGTAGCAGTAATATTTTAAGTATATTCCAAGGTCAAATTTTTTAAGTATATTTAATCTATTTCTTTTATGAATAAGTTTATAAATTACTCCTCTGGTTTTATTTATAAGGCACTTCCAATATGTTTCACATAGATCAAGAAAAATCTTAAACTGCATTAATTCTTCATTAAAATATAGTAACTTTTCAATTTTATCCCTATTTAATGTATACATCTTTCAAAAAAATAACTATCTATACTATAATAAATGAAGGATAACATAGTACATTCATGGTAAAAATTTAATGAAGTGAGTTATAAATAGGACAAGAAAACCTTCTCTCTCTACCCTATAAATAGGACCAGAAGAGTACATTTTAGGTGATGAACTGACAATCCATCTTACTACTTTATATATATTAGTCCAATTAATAACTAACAATTAATAAATAGGAAAAAAACCGAGTAATACCATTAACTTGTGAATAAATATTGGCAAGGAAATATCCGGAAGCTTAAATAAGCACATTCTTTGTTTTAGTTTTTTGGAAGAAAAGTTAATATTTATTCGCCCATTAGTATTAATAATTAATTAAAAAAAATCACATAGTAATGTCAACAAATTTAAACTTACGGGAGTATTTCATGCGGAAGCCATTTCCATGGTCTTTCAAGTGTACCAACAAAACATTTCTCCCAATTCCATTTCTACACTCTTAAATTCTATAAAACCAATAGTTCTTTGAATCATTCCACAAAGTGATCAACAATTTTTTTTTTTTAATTTTTGAAGATATTGAAAAGGGAGTTCTCTAAATTATTCAACAAAGTAATTTATGCTCTTTTCATTTTTCAAGATATGAAAAAGAGTGTAAGCTTAGGTAACTAGTTTATAGTTTTCTACATTATTTCACAAAATAATTTATCGACTTTTCATTTTTTTAAGATAAACTTCTTCAAGTTGATTTTTAAATTTCAAAATTTAATGTTAAGTAATTATGAGAAATAAAATCTATTGAAACAATCGAGACCTTCCAATATAACTTTTATTATGGAGTTTCTATATTTGATTAATTCATTACAAAAAAGATACGTGAATAGAGATTCTCTAACTTTATTTTATTTTATATATTAATATAAAATAGATATTTTCACATTATATTTCAACAATTAATAATTATTAATTGAAGTAGTATAGTATTAGATTATTATACTTGATAGACTCAGAAGAAAAAAGATTTCAATAACAAATCATATCAAAACATTGGTTATATAATCCCCCTCCACACAAAAAAAAAATCTACAATTTATTTTTCGGATAGGCATGATCAATTTGTACTACGAATATCACAAACCGTCAACATTAATCTTTTGCAGAGAAATGGAAGGCCAGCAGCCCCATACGCATTGAACTCACACAGGAGCAGCTAAGAAACATAAATGCCTACCTTCACTGCCTCCCAAAAAAGTAGAAGCTAAACAATAAAACGTGAATTCTGCCCCCTAAACTTCCGGGAAAAAATCTGACAAAAACAGAAACTCCCAAAAAAGAGAATATTTGGATAAGATCAAAATCATGATTTTAGAAGTGTTTTTACAGTGTATGAGATAAATATATAGAAAAGTTTATCTGGATTTGTGAAAAAGTATTTCTGAAAAATACTTAATGAGCTTTCCAAACACCCCCTAAAATTATTACTCCATTTGGAATCTGAGTTAAATAAATGCTCCTCTAATCTTATTAATAAGATTAAGAAAAACTTTAAACTACAATAACTATCTATTAAAATATAACAATTTTTTTAACTTTACTCGTATTTGATATATATATTTTTCAAAAAAATAACTATTTATATTATGATAAATAAGGACAAAATAGTGCATTCATGCTAAAGATTTAATGAAGTGATTTATAAATAAGATTAAGAAAAACCCCCTCTCTACTTTATAAATAGGATCAGGGGAGTAAGTGGTTATATCCTTAATATTTTAATAATGGTTGAAAACTAACAAAAAATTCAAAAAAAAGAAGAAGTAAACAAATATAATACTACCTCCGGTCCTAATTATAAGACCTAGTTGACTAATTTGAGGAAATTAAGAAAGTAAGTTAAGTTAGTTATTTATAATAAATAAGTATTGTCATTCCTAAAATATCCTTGCTAATTAAGTATATTAGCTAAAACTATCATTATTAGAAGGACTATATTGGAAAAAAATACATAAATATGAGAGACAAAATGGATTGGAGTCTTATAATTAGGACCAAATTAAAAGTCAAACAGGATCTTATATTAAGAACCAGAGGTAGTATGTTAAATTGTAATTAAGATACACCTGGCTGTATGTTTAATTTCGATACGCGCATAGGGGCTATCAGTAATTTTTTTTATTATCTCTATATGTAGCTTTTAATTTTGAAGTAAGGAAGGAAACAAAGGGCTTAATTAAATGCTAACAACATTTCTGACTAATAAAGTTTATTAAAAACTTCCATTACAATTTTCACAACGATAAGTTACCAGATGTGGCATCCTGATATATATATCCTCCAGATATTTCTAAAAATATTATTCAAGCACATCCAATGATAATTTATATAATTCAAAAAATGAGACTGTAAACTATTTGATTAAATCCTCGTATTAACATGTAAAATATGGGGAAAATTGCAAATAAGGACCGTGGAATATATAAAATCGCAATTTGGGTCCTTGAATTTATATAATTGCTGTCAGAGACCCAGTCCCAAATAGGAATTATGAAATGTTGATTAAAAGTCAAAAATACCCTTCTGCTTCTTCTTGTCTTTTTTTCATCTTATCATCTCCTTCTCTTTCCTTTTCTTCCCCTCGATCCTTCACTCCGTGCTTCTTTTTCCTCCTCCTCATCTCACTTCCTTGTCCTTAACCCCATCTCTCCCAACTTCTCTCATTCTCTCTTTTCTCTCTGTCATCTTCTTTGTTTCTTCTCCCAAAGCAAGTGAATAACAGGACTTAGAAGAAGGATGTCAAGGGAAACAATAATTAAGCTCAACAAGACTCCCGTTGGATATTGTTGAAGCCTAGCTTCAGCAGGGAATTGGGTTCCAGTTTGTCACTGAGTTCTGCGTTGAAGTCAAAGATGGTTGCAGCGACGACGACAAGTGTGCGATGATTGCTTGGTGCTCAGACAACGCCTAACAAATCTAGATTTTTATTCTTCATTTCTATTTTAATTT